GAGGAGGAGGAGGAGGAGGAGGAGGAGGAGGAGGCGGAGGTTGAGGAGGAAGCGGAGGCGGAGGAGGAGGAAGGGGAGGCGGAGGAGGAGGAAGAGAAGGAGGAGAAGGAAGAGGAGGAGGAGGAGGAGCATGTAGTTCATGCGGCCACCTCGCCAGAAGCCATGTCTCCCTCGCCGCTTTGCCCTCTCGACGTGCGCGACGCGACGCCCGAGCAAACGCTCGGGCTTCGAAATCGCTGGGAGCGGGAGGGGGGAAATCTCGGATGGGAGGAGGACAGCGAGGAGACCGGAGAAAAGGATGACACGGAGGAGGAGAAGGAGGAGGAGGAGGAGGAGGAGTGTAAACCCAAGAGCCATCAACGATGTTGGAATACACCCTCTCTCCAAGCTCCCTCTTCATAGGCCCCTACAACGGCTCATTTCCATTGAGGGATCTGCCTCATTGGAAGACAACTGTTTGAAGACCTGGAAGCATGCCAAAACATTGTTCTCGGGATCCCAACGCCACGGATCAGCAGGATTGTTGCGTCTTGACGATCTTGGATCGTGTCAGATTGCCCGTCTTGGGATTCCAACACCGCGAACCAACGTAACAGTTTCACCCGCAGAATCCTGAATCCTTCCAAAACACAATGTCTGGTACGTTGACCGTGGGAGTCCATGAAACTCTTGCATTTGTTTGAAGCGAATGTGCGCGGCGCTACGGCGAGAGCCACATTTTGAAAAGGAACCGCCCTCAATCCATGAAACTCTTGCACCTGTTTAAAACGAATGTGCGCGGCGCTAAGACGAGAGCCAAATGTTCAAAACGGGTTTATCCGCAATCCGCGAAATTCCTGCAATGCTTGTTCAACGAATGTGCGCGGCGCTAAGGCGAGAGCCACATTTTGAAGACGGGCTAATTATCCTCAATCCGTGAAACGATTGCAAATGTTTGAAAAGAATGTGCGCGGCGCTAAGGCGAGAGCCACCTTTTGAAAGCACCCGCCCTCCATCTGCAAAACTGTTGCCAATGTTTAAGCTTCAGGGTCATAATGTGAGGAAATATCAGGCGAAACGCCTGGCCCGCCCTAACAACTGGCCTCGGTGTGCGACAGGGAGCTATTTATCAGGAGAAGGAATGGAGGAGGAGGAGGAGGAGGAGGAGGAGGAGGAGGAGGAGGAGGAGGAGGAGGAGGACCAGTGTAAGCCCAAGAGTCACCAACGATGCTGGAAGAAACCCTCCCCCCAAGCTCCCTCTTCCTATGCCCCTACAACGGTTCACTTCCACAGAGGGACCTGCCTCGTTGGAAGACAGCCGCTTGAAGACCCTGAAGCATGTCAAAACAGTATTCCCGTTATTCCAACGCCACGGATGAACCTGCCTGTTGCGTTTTTTACCATCCCGAATCGTGCCAGAACGCCATTCTTGGGACCTCAACCCCGCGAACCATCGTAACTGCTGCACCCTCAAAATCGCACATCCTTCCAAAACACCAGTTCTGGTACGTCGATCAGGGAACCCGTGAAATTGCAATTTTGTATTTTGTATCCAGAATGTGCGCGGCGCTAGGGCGAGAACCACATGTTGAAAAGGAATTGGCCTCAACCCGTGAAGTCTTGCAAAGTTTTGAGACAAATGTGCGCGGCGCTAAGGCGAGAACAACATGTTGAAAAGGAACCGCCCTCAATCCGTGAAACGCTTGCACCTGTTTAACACGAATGCGCGGCGCTAAGGCGAGATTCATGTTGAAAACGGGATCCTCAATCCGCAAAACAATGCAAAGTGTTAAAAACGAATGTGCGCGGCGCTGAGGCGAGAGCCACATTGTGAAAACGATCCGCCCTCAATTCGTGAAACTCTTGCAACGTTTTAGAACGAATGTGCGCGGCGTTAAAGCGAGAACCGCATTTTGAAAACGCACGCCTTCAATCCGTGAACCTCTTGCAAAGTTACCTAACAGCGAAGACTGATAGGTTTCTAGTGGACTCAAAAGAAAGCATCATGACTCCCCAGGGGGGTCCGGGCAGGATCCTGGCAGAATCTGCGGAAGTCGTTTTAAGCAAACAGTTACACACTTCGTGGTCTTCGAGGTCCCAGAACTCCATTCCCGGGCCACATTCTGAATGCCCGGAGCCAACTGTAGGCCACTTCGTGCTCTTCGAGTTCCCAGAACTCCATTCCCGGGCCACATTTTGAATGCCCGGAGCCAACTGTAGGCCACTTCGTGCTCTTCGAGTCTTCCCAGCTCTCCATTTTGAATGCCCGGAGCCAACTGTAGGCCACTTCGTGCTCTTCGAGTTCCCAGAATTCCATTCCCGGGCACATTTTGAATGCCCCAGGCCACTTCGTGGTCTTCGAGTTCCCAGAACTCCATTCCTGGGCCACATTTTGAATGCCCGGAGCCAACTGTAGGCCACTTCGTGGTCTTCGAGTTCCCAGAACTCCATTCCTGGGCATGGCTGCAGGCTGAGGCTGAGGCCGAGGCTGAAGGCAGACTGAGGCTGAGGCTGAAGCAGGCTGAGGCTGAGGCTGAGGCAGGCTGAGGCTGAGGCTGAAGCAGGCTGATGCTGAGGCAGGCTGAGGCTGAGGCTGAGGCTGATGCAGGCTGAGGCTGAGGCAGGCTGAGGCTGAGGCCGAGGCTGAAGGCAGACTGAGGCTGAGGCTGAAGCAGGCTGAGGCTGAGGCTGAGGCAGGCTGAGGCTGAGGCTGAGGCAGGCTGAGGCTGAGGCAGGCTGAGGCTGAGGCTGAGGCTGATGCAGGCTGAGGCTGAGGCAGGCTGAGGCTGAGGCCGAGGCTGAGGCTGAGGCTGAGGCTGAGGCTGAGGCTGAGGCTGAGGCTGAGGCTGAGGCTGAGGCTGAGGCTGAGGCTGAGGAGGCTGAGGCTGAGGCTGAGGCTGAGGCTGAGGCTGAGGCAGGCTGAGGCTGAGGCTGAGGCTGAGGCTGAGGCTGAGGCTGAGGCTGAGGCTGAGGCAGGCTGAGGCTGAGGCTGAGGCTGAGGCAGGCTGAGGCTGAGGCTGAGGCTGAGGCTGAGGCTGAGGCAGGCTGAGGCTGAGGCTGAGGCTGAGGCTGAAGCAGGCTGAGGCTGAGGCTGAGGCTGGCAGGCTGAGGCTGAGGCTGCAGGCTGGCTGCAGGCTGAGGCTGAGGCTGAGGCTGAGGCTGAGGCTGAGGCTGAGGCTGAGGCTGAGGCTGAGGCTGAGGCTGAGGCTGAGGCTGAGGCTGAGGCTGAGGCTGAGAGGCTGAGGCTGAGGCTGAAGCAGGCTGAGGCTGAGGCTGAGGCAGGCTGAGGCTGAGGCTGAGGCAGGCTGATGCTGAGGCAGGCTGAGGCTGAGGCTCAGGCTGATGCAGGCTGAGGCTGAGGCAGGCTGAGGCTGAGGCCGAGGCTGAGGCTGAGGCCGAGGCTGAAGGCAGACTGAGGCTGAGGCTGAAGCAGGCTGAGGCTGAGGCTGAAGAAGGCTGAGGCTGAGGCTGAGGCTGAGGCTGAGGCAGGCTGAGGCTGAGGCAGGCTGATTCAGGATGAGGCTGAGGCAGGCTGAGGCTGAGGCCGAGGCTGAAGGCAGACTGAGGCTGAGGCTGAAGCAGGCTGAGGCTGAGGCTGATGCAGGCTGAGGCTGAGGCTGAGGCAGGCTGAGGCTGAGGTAGGCTGAGGCTGTGACTGCGACTGCCGTTGCCACTGCGACTGTCATCGCGAATGCGACTGCGACTGCGAGAAAAGCAGAATTCTACAACTGGATTCTCATCTGAATCGTAAGGGGAATGTTTCCAGATATGAGCCTACACACCGCTGTTAGGTTGCTTTGCTGGGATAAGTTTAGAACGAATGCGCGCGGCGCTAAGGCGAGAGCCACCATTTGCAAACGACCCGCCCTCAATCCGTGAAACTCTTACAAATGTTGAAAACGAATGTGCGCGGCGCTAAGGCGAGAGCCACCTTTTGAAAACCACCCGTCCTCCATCTGTGAAGTTGTTGCCAATGTTTACGCTTCAGGGTCATAAATGGCGAGGAGGTCTCAGGCGAAACGCCCGGCCCGCCCAAAAAACTAGCTTCGGTGTGCGACAGGGAGGAGTTATGTATAAGGAGAAGGAGGAGGAGGAGGAGGGGGAGGAGGAAGATTTGCAGGAGGTCAACGGAGGTTGCAGGAGGTCGGGGGTCGGCATTCGAGGAGCGAAGGCAAGGCGTGCGGGCGAGGGACGGCAGGAGAGATGACGAGCACGCGACGGAGGAGGAATGCGGATGTCGCCGAGTTCGTCGAGGCCGTCGTCGGAGAGGGAGGATAGGGGAGAGGAGAGGAGGAGAGAGAGAGGAGGAGAGAGGAGGGATGATGACGGGTAGGAGTGGCATGCGGCAGTTCTGCTCGATTTCATGAGAGCCTTCGAACTCTCAATCCTGCCGCGGGTGATGGCCGCGTTGCCGCGGCCAACAAGAACAAACGAGAGAAGGCGGAGGGCGCGCCTTGGCAGCCTAGGGGCCATCCTTTAAGGCGCCCTGGCCTCGTCGAAGCCTCCCCAAGATGCTCCTCGGAGCACGGGCGCGGCGGTGATGGCTGTGAACACGACGATGACGACGCCGAACATGGTCACGACGACCGAGACATCCAACGTCGAGATTTGTTCACAACCTCTCCCTGGAGACCGGCTTTTTATCCTGAGTCGTTTTTGACAGTCCCAGGCTCCCGGAGGCCGAACACTGCAAAAGTCTTGCGTGGTGTTTTGTCCGCGACCCGAGGCTGTCAGGGGACGAACATATCACATAGCGGCGACGACGACGAACATGACGAAGAGGACCACGGCGACGACGACGACCACGACCAAGACCACGACCACCATGGTGACGACCAAGGCCGTGACGGCCACGACGATGACGACGAACAGGACGAACAGGACTACGGCGACGACGACCACGGCGACGATGACGACAACGACGGCGGCGGCGGCGACGGCGACGACGAGGGCGACGGCGAGGACATCGTGGGCGGCGGCGACGGCGACGGCGACGGCGACGGCGGACGCGTTCCCGGCAGGAACCCCGACTCGGCCGAGCACCAGCTCCGGGAGATGCATGGCTGCCGGCGCGGACGAAAGGGACTCAGACCCCCTCGCGTCGTGACAAAAATCACGACGGATGATTTTTGTCCTCGTGTTCGGCCTCTGGGAGCCTCCGCTGGGTCCCGGAAGGAGACGTCAAGCAGGCGCGAGCCGTCCATGGGAGGGGGGCCAGACCTCCAGGGAGACACGGTGTGAGACAAAGCACAGCAGCGGATGTCTGTCAAGCAGTGGCGAAGCGTCCCGGCTTGCCTATGGGCCCACCAAAGAATGTTCTAAGAATGTGTCCCAACCATCTTGTGGTGCTGGGCACTCGTTTTGAATAGAGTAGTGTGGTCTCCACCTCCTCCTCCTCTCCTCCTCCTCTCCTCCTTCTCTCCTGTTTCCTGTGTTCCCTTCTCCTCTTCTCTCGTGCCGTCTGCGATCTGCGAAACTGTCGCCACTTTCGTGGGCTCCTGGGAGGCACAGCGGAGGTGGGTCCCACGCGAACCACCTCGGGACCTCGCCGCCCCCAGGGCGGATTGCGATCTGCGCAATTGTCGCCACTTTCGTGGGCTCCTGGGAGGCTCAGCGGAGGTACGTCTCACGCGGATCACCTCGGTATCTCGCCGCTCCCGGGGGGGTTGCGATCTGCGCAACTGACGCCACTTTCGTGGGCTCCTGGGAGGCCCAGCGGAGGTACGTCCCACGCGGATCACCTCGGTACCTCGCCGCCCCCGGGGGGGGTTGCGATCTTCGAAACTGACGCCACTTTCGTTGGCTCCTGGGAGGCCCAGCGGAGGTACGTCCTACGCGGATCACCTCGGTACGTCGCAGCCCCTTGGGGGGCTTGCGATCTGCGCAATTGTCGCCACTTTCGTCGTTGGCTTCTGGGAGGCCCAGCGGAGGTGACTCCTACGCGGTGACTGGGTGCTCCTGCATATCCTCGAGGCCTCGTTCAGCGCAGCGCGTTGCTGAGTTAACCCAATGTTCTGGTTTAGCCCTCGCCGCCACCCGCTTTTGTGTTCCTTTCAACGCCCTTGTGCTTCCATGTTGTATGTTTGGTGTTCCTCTTCTTGATGCTCTCGTCTGATATCACTACTGAGTGCTCTTCTTGCGCACTGCGGGTCCTTCAGAATGCCAGTCAGCATTGAGTGGTCCTGAATATAAACGCCACAAATACAAAAGGGTTGGGTACGTCGCAGAATAACTCCCAACCCTCCTTGGTTGGGTACTCGTGTTGAATAGGGGTGTGTGGTCGCGTCCTCCTCCTCCTGCCTCCTGCCCGTCTTGCCTCGGAGGGGGGAGGGGAGGCTGCGATCTGTAATACTGTCGCCACTTTCGAGGGCTGCTGGGGGGGCCAGCACAGTGACGTCCTACGCAGACCCAAACGGGACCTCGCCATCCCTGGGGGGGGGGGGCGATCTGTGAAATTGTCGCCACTTTCGAATGCTGCTGGGGGGTCCAACACAGCGACGTCCTACGCAGACCCAAACGGGACCTCGCCATCCCTGGGGGGCTGCGATCTGTGAAAATGTCGCCTTTTTCGAGGGCTGCTGGAAGGTCCAGCAAAGCGACGTCCTACGCAGACCCAAACGGGACCTCGCCATCCCTGGGGAGCTGCGATCTGTGAAACTGTCGTCACTTTCGAGGGCTGCTTGGGGGGTCCAGCACAGCGACGTCCTACGCATATTCAAACTAGACCTCGCCATCCCTTGGGGGGCTGCGATCTGTGAAACTGTCGCCACTTTCGAGGGCTGCTGGGGGGGTCCAGCACAGCGACGTCATACGCAGACCCAAACGGGAAGGGCTGCGATCTGTGAAACTGCCGCCACTTTCGAGGCTTGCTGGGGGGTTCAGCATAGTGACGTCACACGCAGATTCAACTTTGACCTCGCCATCCCATGGGGGCTGCGATTTGTAATACTGTCGCCACTCTCGATGGCTGCTGGGGGTCCCGTATAGTAACGTCCTACGCAGACCCAAACGGGACCTCGCCATCCCTTGGGGGGCCGCGATCTGTGAAATTGTCGCCAGTGCCGAGGGTTGCTGGGGGGTCCAGCACAGTGACGTCCTACGCAGACCCAACTTGGACCTCGCCATCCCTGGGGGGCTACGACCTGTGAAACTGTCGCCGCTTTCGAGGGTTGCTGGGGGGTCCAGCATAGTGACGTCCTACGCAGATCTAAACACGACCTCGCCATCCCTGGGGGGCTGCGATCTGTGAAACTGCCGCCACTTTCGAGGCTTGCTGGGGGGTCCAGCATAGTCACGCCTTACGCAGATTAAACTCGGACCTCGCCATCACTGGGGGGCTGCGATCTGTGAAACTGTCGCCACTTTCGAGGCCAGCTGGGGGGTCCAGCACAGTGACGTCCTACGCATATTCAAATTAGACCTCGCCATCCCTGGGGGGCTGCGATCTGTGAAACTGCCACCACGTTCGAGGCCTGCTGGGGGGCGGAACATAGTGACGTCCTATGCAGATTCGAGGTAGACCTCGCCATCCCTGGGGGGCTGCGATCTGTGAAACTGCCACCACTCTCGAGGCCTGCTAGGGGGTCCAGCACAGTGACGTCCTAAGCAGTCTCAAAGTAGACCTCGCCATCCCTGGGGGGCTGCGATCTGTGAAACTGTCGCCAGAGTCGAGGGCTGATGGGGGGTTCAGCACAGTGACGTCCTACGCATATTCAAATGAGACCTCGCCATCCCTGGGGGGCTGCGATCTGTGAAACTGTCGCCACTTTCGAGGCCTGCTGGGGGGTCCAGCATTGCGACGTCCTACGCAGACCCAACTTGGGCCTCGCCATCCCTGGGGGGCTGCGACCTGTGAAACTGTCGCCGCTTTCGAGGCCTGCTGGGGGGTCAGCATAGTGACGTCCTCCGCATATTCAAATTAGACCTCGCCATCCCTGGGGGGGCTGCGGTCTGTGAAACTGACGCCACGTTCGAGGCCTGCTGGGGGGTCCAGCATAGTGACCTCCTATGCAGATTCAAATTAGACCTCGCCATCCCTGGGTGGCTGCGATCTGTGAAACTGTCGCCACTCTCGAGGCCTGCTGGGGGGTCCAGCATAGTGACGTGCTACGCAAAATCCAATTTGACCTCGTCATCCCTGGGGGGCTGCGATCTGTGAAACTGTCGCCACTTTCGTAGGCCTGCTAGGGGGGCCAGCATAGTTGGGCCCCGCGGCGGACTCCAATGGGAATTCCCAAATGCTGGTCGTAGAAATAATACGTAAATGTCTCGTCATCACTCCCTTATAAAGTCGCCCAAGCAACTCATACCCCGCATTGCGCAGGGTTTGGGTACGTCGCCAGGGTAATTTGTGGTCTGCACGAGATGTTCTTAGAACATTTCTGGCTGCGACCGTCTTGTTTTAACACATCTGATTGTTGTTCTAAGAGCATTGCTTTTGTTCTTAGAACATATTTGGGTTCTAAGAGCATTTCGCGGTAGGCCTACAGGAATGCCGGGACGGTCGGTCCCTGCTCAAGCCTGGTTTCTTCGATATACATTGGCCGCCTCGGGCGCCAGGAGGCGCCGGGAAGACCAGCACGTGAATGAGCCGATTCGCTAAGGGTGTGTTTCTATCCGATCGGATGCGGCTCGATGATTGTGTGGCGTTGTTGTGCATTGTGGCGCAGCCGATCCGATTCGATTACGAAGGCCTTACGGCCGGTGCCGCCGACCCTGAAGGTAGACAACGACGACGACGACGACAACGGCGGCGGCGGCAACGACGACGACGTTGACGTGGGCCAGAGTCCTCGGGGATGGTTCTTGGGGTCTCTTCGGAAGTCTCTCGGGGCCTCTGGGGAAAAAATTGGTGCCTCTTGGGAGCCTCGTGGGGGCCTCCTGTGAGCCTCTTGGGGGCCTCTCAGGGCTTCCTGGGGGCCTCTTGTGGGCCTCTCGGGGCATTTTGTGAACCTCTTGGGGCCTCCTGGGAGCCTCTTCGGGCCGAGGACACGAAATGTCCATTCGGGTCCCCCGTTTGGGCACGCTCTTAGAGCCGTATCGGTGGCCTCTTGGGCCGTCGTGAAGGCGTTTTGGGCTGTCTTGGGGTCCTCTTGGGCTGTTCTGGGGCCCTCTTGGAGGCCTCCTGGGCCGTGTTGAGGCGATCTTGGGGGCCTCTTGCGCCGTTTTGGAGCGGCGGGAAGTGGAAGAGGCAAGAACGCCAAATTGGAAAAACAAAAAATTAAAAAAACGATTGGAAATCAATGAATTTGGCCTCTTGGGGCCCTCTCGGGAGTGTACGTGGAGGCGCCTTGGGGCGTCCTGGAGGTCTCCTGAGCAGTCTGGAGGGCGTGAGGCGTTTTGGACCGATTGGCGATTGTGAACCTTCTTGGACCGTCTCGGCGGCCTCTTGGGGCACTCTTTCACAGGCCCCCTGGGCCCCCAGGGGAGGATGCGCATCTGACCCCCCTCCCGGGACCCCCCCTGGACGGGGGAGGGATCAAAGTGAAGGGGTTTCCCTTCGACTCGATTACAACATTGCTAGATTTTCTGTCGCTGACAAGCTTGAGGAGGAGGGTACAGGGAAACGGATCGACGAAGACGACGATTGTCGGAGACGACGACTCGAACAGACAAGCCCCTCGCACATGCCGACAGGGTCGGCGGATTTCGATTCCGTGTTGAAGCAGCCCATGCGTTCCGATCCGACGCGATGTATCTATTCGATGTTGGCCGCTCCTGCCTTTCCATGGCCGCCTCTGGCGCCACAAGCCTCCGCGGAAGGCCAGCTGCATGCGACTGATTCGCGAACCTCGCCATGAGGGAGAGGTGTCCTGAGGGCAGCGGATTCCTCGCCCCCGCGGCTGTCCCCGGGGCCAGCTGTTCATACTGATTTGTTTTCTGGCAACCGTGGAGCCCATAGAAGGCCCCACGAGGTCCGAAAGTGGGGACAGAGTTGCAGGACCCCACTTCTTCCAGGACCCATGCTGACATGGGCAGGAATCGCGCCGCCGGTTCTGGCGTTCTGGCCCACTGCACGCGCCAGCGCGACGCTTGAGCACGTCCAGGCCCCCAAGCTCAAGCAGTGGCGAAGCGTCCGGGCGTGCCTATGGGCCTACCAAACAATGTTCTGAGAACCTTTTGTGGTTTCCACCAAAATAATGTTATAACATTTCTGGCTGGGGCTGCCTTATCTTATCGCACCGGGCTTTATGTCCTAAGAACATGGTTTTTGTTATTTGAAAATTGTTGGGTTCTAAGACGAGCGGGGGTGGCAAAGAGGGGGGGGTGATGACTAGGGGGGGGGGATATCATGGCGGTGGTCATGATATTTTCCTAGATTTCCTTGCGCATCTTCTTGTTTCAGTACGTTCCCTGGCCCCCCCCTGGGCCGTGCACATGCCGCCGGCCATGATTTGCACCCCCCTCTTGGACACCCCCCTCCTGGCCGCTGCCGAGAAGGTTTCGTGGTAGGCCCACCAGATTGCCGGGACGGTCGACCCCTGCTCCGCACGCGTCCACGTTCCGAGCTCGTCCCCGCCTCCCCCGTCCTGCGAGCAGAGCGACACGCCTCTCCGCTCGCAGGGCACACGGCGTGTCGGAGGGGCCGTTGGCACGGCAAGATATATGTCGGGCCTGTCCCTCTACAGGAGGAATATTCCCAAATAGTAAAAAATAGTGTGGTGACCATTTTTGGTGTATTTTTTAGACCATTTTGGAGTATGTTTTGGGGTATGTTTCATTTTTCGTCGGAAATCAGGGGACACGCCCGACTTAAGACGAGATGCCCATCGGTCGTTGAAACCCTGATTCCAGTCTGCGTTAAGCGTCATGGTGCCAACATCGCAGAACGGAGTTCGTTCGGAAAACGATCGGATGGGCCTGGAGTGTCCTGAAGAATCTCGTTCCGGATTTCGATGTGAATTTCGTGCGGGCTTTCTGGGGCCAGGAATGACGATAAAAAAACATCCACGCAAGATTCATTTCGTGTTTCACTCGCCGTTTCGGGGTTTTGTGTATTGACAGACATCCACGCAAAAATCCTCTGTAGAACGCCTGCAAGGTCGGTGCAGTGGTAAGCGCCTTCCTACTTTCATGATCGAGTGGCTTCCCCTCTTCCCTCCTCTTCAGGGGGCGGGCGGAGATCCAATCCGTTTTCAGCGCCTTCCTGCCTCATGTTTCTGCCTGCTTCTTCCGACCGGCGGGGAAGCAAAAGGCTTCCTGACCTGGGCCCCCTTTCGCCCCACCCCGAGGCTGGCTCTCGTCCCAGTGGCCGCCGGCCGCAGCGGGCCCCCCGCCCGGGCCCCCGGGGCCGCCCAGCTTCTGGTCGGAGGACCGCCCGGGGGGGGGGGTTGTTCTCGGGCGGTTCGGGCGGGCGGGCGGCGGCGGCGGCGGGAGGAGGAAGCAAAGAGCCCTGGCCTTGACGTCCTCACCGCGTGAAGAACAAAACGACGGGAGGCTGTGGGCCGTTTTCGGCCTCACCCGGGTCCCCCTCCCGGGCCCAGGGCAGTCAGAAAACTGCTCAGAATGAGATGCTGGTCCCTGGGAGGGGTCCAGACCACCGGGGGGACATGTTGTGGAAAAGTCACGACGTCCGATGTATGGCAGACGAGGGCGAGCAAGACGAGGAGGAGCAGGAGGAGGAGGGAGGGAGGGAGGATGGAGTGAGGAGAGGAGAGGAGAGAAGGAAGGGAGAGGAAGAGGAGCGAGACGGAGTCCGTGCGCAGGGGGGGGGGGGGGCAAGGACGAAAGAGGAGCTGGAGGAGGAGCTCTTCTCCTCCCGCTGCTGACCCCACAGTCCTCTGCTGGAGCCCGTGCTCTGAGAAGAGCAGTTGTCCGTCTCGCGCAGCTCCCCTCGCCCATCCTCCCTCCACCTCCCGCCGCCCGTCCTCCCCCCTCCCTCTCCTCGTCCCTCACCGCTCCTCTCTCCTCTCCCCTGTCGTCTCTCCTCGTCGTCCCCTCCTCTCCTCCCTTCTCCCTCTCCTCGTCTCTCGCCCCTCCTCCCTCCTCGCTCCCCTCCTCCCTCCCCTCCTCGTCCTTCCACGCTCCTCTCCTCCTCTCCTCGTCTTCCGCCGCTCCTCGTCGTTCACCGCTCCCCCCTCTCCCCCCCCCCCGTGGAGCCGCGCCCTCTCTCGGGATGGCCGCGCCTCTGCCCCACCGCAGGTCCTGCGCCTGCCCTCTGCCGCTTGGCTCTCGCGGTGCGTGCGCGCGTGCTCCGTACCCCGCGGGGCGCCGCCAGGCGCGCACAGCGTCGACGGGGGGGCCGCGGCAAGCACCACCGCACACTCGGGAGTCCAGGGACCCAAGGACACACAATACAGACACATAAGAATATGCCCCATACTTCCTCATATTTTCTGGGTGCTTGTTTTCGCCCCCACTTCCCACAGTTTCCCATAGTTCCTGGGGAGTCGACGATTAATTGTGTCTGTGTTTTTTCCCTGGGGGGGGGGGGAAACAGACACCATGAACCGTCGACTCCCAGGAAAGGATGGGAAACATGGCAAGTGGGGGAAAGACGAGAGTCAAGAACATCTCAGCAAGCATGGGGGAGCCTGGGATCTGCGTGTATGTCTTTGTGTGTCCCTGGCCCCTTTCATGCACGGACACCAGCTTGCATTGCCTCGGGGACGGCTGCTCCGCGAGTCGCGCCGCCGGTTCTGGCCCGCCACGCTTCGGAGCGACATGCTAACTAACTTCGCCCCGGTCCCCGTGAGCGGTCCGAGCTCTGCGCAGCTTCCCGCCCCGCAGAGTGGAGCGACACGCTGTCTGGTTGCGAGGCATGGCGTGTCGGAGGGTTCGCCACCGCGACAGGCTGAGCAGAAGTTACTGGCCGTACGCATCAGCGCCTACCGTGGTGCTGCCGAGCGAAGCACCGTCGCCATGCTTACGTGCCTGCCGGGGAGGGTCCAGCAGAGTGCCCTTGAAGCAGGATAAGAATGTTGCCCTCGCCGCCCTGGGCGGTGCCAGACGCAGCACTGTCACCGCCTCCCTGCGCCCTGTCAGGGTGCAGCGGAGTGCCCTCTGCACTCCCCCCCCCTCCTCCTCCTCCTCCTTCTCCTCCTCCTCCTCCTCCTCCACCTCCTCCTCCTCCTCCTCCTCATCCTGGGCTCCAGATGTCGTCATCCCCCTGGGTGGTGCCAGACGCCCCACGCTTCAGAGGAGAAACAGAGGTCACCACCACCAACAACCCATCGGGGAGGACCTACCCTTGGCCAGTGTCACGCCTGGGCATCGTCAAGTTTTGGGTGACGCTCGAGCGTGCCACCGCTCAGGGTTCAGGGGTTCCCTTCCCCCCCTATGGGTTCTCGGTGGCGATGGTCTCAATTTCTCCTTTGACTTTTGCGAGGTCCAGCGCGAAGCCACACTGCGCGGACCCAAACTATTCTGAACGCTCGCTGGCCCCCTCGTGTGCTGCAAGGTGAACAGCAGAGGGTCCAGCGGAGCGCATCCGTGAGCAGATCCCGCATTGTTACCCTCGCTCCCCCATGCGACTCTAAGCCCATTGCCACCCCCACTGTTTGTCCTGGGGGCCCCAGACACATGCAACGTCTTGAACAAATCAGAACGAAGGTTCGTCGCTGATTTCTGCCGTTGGGGGCCCTTGCCAGGCCCCCCCCAGGCCTTCAAACAAGTATACATGATGAAGAACTGGTCCTGGGGACAGTGGCGGGACTTCGAGGGACCGCGTATTGAAAGAATCAAAACGTCGCATGTCTGGGTTGCGCAGACCCAAAGAGTTGCCATCGACGCCCCGGCTGCTGCCGAGCAGCGGTCGCCACCTCCTGGACAGTATTGAGAATCCGCACGCCGTTGCGGATCGCCCTTGGGCGGTCCCGCAGAGCGCCCCCCACGCGAACCCGAGCTGTCACCCTCGCCCGCCCGAGCCGCCCTGAGAGACCACTGGCCAGGAGCGACAATCGCAGGTTTGTTTTCCCGTCGGTCTGGGTCAGGGCCTGCGGCTCGCAGGCCAGAAGCAGCTTAAGAGACCGCCTGGGGATCCTCTGGCAGCCCACGGGGGCACGACGCGCGCGCGCGAGCGGCGTGCTGAGCCGAGGCCACCTCGGGGCCGCCCGGAGGGCCCTACCGCCCACGGCCCGCGACCGCGCCCACCCGCGACCCGCGGCGGCGACCCGCGGCCGCGGCCGCGGCCGGAGGACACCGCCGCCGACCCGACGATGCCCGGCTCGGCCCTCCGGGGCTGCGGCGGCGCCGAGGGCGAGCCGATCGGCGCCGCGCCGACGCGCCGCGAGCTCGGCGCAGCGGGGGTCGTCGTCGTCGTACCGCGTCGTGGTTTCGGGCTCGTCGTCGTCACCGCGGTCGTCCGCGCCGCCGCGCTCGTCGCCGTCGTCGTCGTCGTCGTTGCGTCGCCTTTGTCGTCTTCGCGTCTTCTTCGTCGTCGGCGTTTTGGCGCCGCCGCCGTCGTCGTCATCATCGTCGTCGTCGCCTTCGTCGTCGTCGTCGCCTTCGTAGTCGTCGTCGCCTTCGTCGTCGCCTTCGACAGAATCGTCGTCGGATGCGGAGGAGGAGGAGGAGAAGGCGAGGGATATGGAGGAAGTAGAGGAGAAGGTTCCAGGATAGCAGTTCTTCCCGGTAAGGGCTCAGGCCCAGGGTTCTCTTTTACGTGTGCGGGCCTTGAGCCTTGTAATGGAAAGGTGTCAAGCAGGTGGCGTCGGAATTGGGCGCGTAAGACTTCCATTGCGGAAAGGGGGGACTCCAACATGCGTTTCGTTGCGCATGCGTTTGGCACGTGCTTCTCTAGGTTCCTGGCGACAACGAGGCCCCAGAGGGGGTATCTAATTTACTTGCTTCGGATTTTTGCACGCGTGAACTACGTCTGCGGGGGGGGCGTGCGCGCTGGGCACGTTTTCAGGTGTCCACGGGGGCGCCAGACGTCAAACTCACTCGCGTCGGACTCTCTGTGTACAGATACGTGCGCGGAGTGGGGCATGCGCGCGGGGCACGTGTTTTCGCGTGTCCACGGGGGCGTCGGATATCCAGCATGGTTTGTGGGGGGTATCCTCCTCACTATGGGGATGTTGAAGGGGTTGCTTTACGACGTACATTGGAGAGGTGAAAGGTCAGGTCCTCGACGCACCTGACTTTCCACTTCCCCAGTGTCACACGTCGATCCGTGAGACTGCCGTACATGGAGGTTGTGACATCTTCGTTGTATATGGAGGTTGGTGGTTGGATCATAATACCACTGCTTCTTGCTTACATGACCAGACATGGGTATAGATACTGGTTGTGCTAGCACTGGTCGTAGTTTGCGACTTGCTGGACGGCGTAGAGAGCTAACAACGAGATTGGGATCGCTCTACTCGCTGTAAATGCAAACCACGATGTGTTGATTGATAGTGTTGACTGAGACCGTGCGGACGAATGACAAGCGATTGCCAGCTTATTGTTAGCATGTTGCTATTGGTTCACGCAAGAGGCGTGCATGTGGCACGTTGCATGGTACGGACGAGCGACTTTCCAAGGTGACCTTTGCATCCATCCTTCCCTTGGGCCTACCCTTGGCCGCTTTCGTTGGCCGCGCTCCGCTCGCAAAGTGTCGGCATGGCCTTCCAAGCCCCTTGCATCCTGATTGTGCGTCCTTTCGCCTCAGTGGGTGGGGCAACCCAGTACGTGCACTCGTGCCGTAAACACATCGCCGAGTGACAAGACTGCCCATCCATCTTTGTATTTTTCCCAGTCAGTCAATCCACAGCGGGCCTGCATCTAAAACGCTTTTTTTTTGGGGGGGGGGTAGTGCGCCATGAGTGGACGGGGGGCCTCGTGATTGGCAGCCCCTTCTTACCTCACTTGCCGACTGGGGCGTTAGAGCGCGGTATACAATCCGGTCAGGTTAGGGGCTCATTTCTTTCGCTTCCGCACTCCTTCCCTTCCGCTTCGCTGTTGGCGTCGCGCGGGTCGGGTTTCGGGGTGGGCGTGTGTGAATGAACCCCTTGCTTCCTTGCGCCCGCTGCTTATTTCCGCCCGCGGGCATTGGCAAGCACGAGTTGGCCCTTTGACTATGGGGGAAAACCAAGTCTTCATCATACTCCTTCACTCATCGGTACCGCCTTTACCGACGGCTGCTCGCGAGGGACTGGCCCTTCGGTCAACCATTCCCTCAGACAGATATCCTACGTGGTGTTTCTTAGGCATTTCGGCTGATGCATTTTCACAGCATGAAGGTGCTGGAGGAGTTGTAATCCGACGCTTGCTGTCAAAAGTAAAGCTGTCGCTTACAACACGGATGTCCTTGGAAGATCTTGTTCTGGTTTCGGTCCGACTGTACAGAGGCTGGCAGGGCCAGGGCGGCGGCGACGGCATGCTCTTGGCCGTTGTGTGAAGCCTCTCCGTCGCCACGGCCGGACTCGGCTGACTAAGCAAGACTGACGCCAGGAGGGGAGCTCACTGGCGGCGCGCCAGCGAGGACGGGGCCGATGCCTTCGTCGACGGCGCCGTCGGTCCGGAGGTTTGTGGGCCTCTTTGGGGTTCCTCGTCGCCACGGCTTGATTCGGCTTCGAGGACTGATCAGGATTGGCCCCGGGAGGGGTCCGGCGACCCGTTCAGGGCCCATCTCGATCCGCTTGGATACTGAATTCGGTAGGCCCGATCCCATTCGGTGCCGCGTTTTCGGCGATCCGGAGCGGCACGGTGCTTGCATGGCGCCGCTGTGCATCCATGCTCGGCCGATCCGGGTTGCTGTCAACTTCGCGGACGCAGCCCGATCAGGTGGACATTCCGACCCGATCCGATTTTGCGATTCGATGCCGCCTGTCTTTGCCCGTTTCGAGGGCGCGCCGAGCGGGGCAGCGGGCGAGGGGGGGGTCCTTGGGACCCTGCTGCCTCCGCTTAGGCCTTCGGAGATGCCCCAGGATCCATTCGAAGACGCCGCCCTTCCGACGTCTTGACTTGTGTTTCATGCGAGGCCCCCGCAGGTCCCGACCCTTTCCTTGGGGCCCGTTTTCCATATCAAGTAGCTGTTTGACAGCCCTGGGGCCCGGGCCCTGGCGCAGCAACCGTCGCCTACCCCGCCGGCGGCGCTGGCCGCGCCACTCGCTCCAGGTGCGACCCGTCCCCTGGAGCGGCCTACGTTCCCTGTCCCCTCCTTCGGCCGCCCTCCACGCTTTTTCCTGCACTGTGGCGCAATTCGTCTCAATGGCGTCCCCGTTTTGATTGCTCTTCCGCCGGCGCAGTCACTCTGCCTAGCCGCCGACGTAAAAAGCTGGACGGCCCTGGGGCCCGCTGGGGGCCCCTGGGGGCCGAAAGTCGCCCCAAGACTTGCTGGCGCGAGGTTTGTGCTTCACGCCGCGAGGCGCGTCTGGGCAGGCCCCGATGCCCAGGCCAAGGCTCGCTCAGAACGGGCCCACGGGCCCCCTCTGAGGGGCCCACCTGTAGGCCGGCCGTGCAGGCCCTCCGGCCGAAAAGCCCTGCACGCCGCCACGCTGGTCCCCGGCAGGCCGTGCTGCCCGGCGGAAGGGGGCGAGGAGGAGAGAAGCAGGCAGACAACGACGAACGCGCAGGCGGGAGGCCACGGCCGGCGGGGCGGGCGGGCAGGCGGAAGAGGGGCCAGGCGGAGACAGCAGGCGGGGAGCAGGAGGGAACAGCTTGGCCGGCCCTTCAGGCCGCGCCCGGCCGCGCCCAGCCGCGTCGAAGAGAACCTCCCGTGGACGTCGGCATGCGTCGTGTCGATGCGGCGGCGACGTCAGCGTTGGCGGTAAAGGTTGGAGCGCCGCCGGTGGCCTGGAGTGGGCTGATGTCGAATGAAATCTTGCGCGGCGGAAGGCCTCCATCCCCGAACGATTTGCGCGGTGCCAGAAACCAACGCGAAACTCCTGGCGACACGAACTTGCCGCACTCCCTCGCGCGGCGCACGGGCGCTGGGATACAGTAGGCGCGTCAGATAAGAGATTGCCCTGCTGCTTCGCGGACTTGTTTCATCCCCCGATGGCCCCATGGACCCACAGAAGCTCTGGGGCACTTTAGGACCCTCAGAGATCGACGAAGAATGTGGCCCACGATTTCCGATGCCATTTTGGCTCAAGCCGCGCGAGGCGCTCGTGCCGCTCCGGTGGGAGAGGGTCCGAGCACGTGTCGCGCACCGGGACGCCGGACTCGTTGCCGCACTCATGTCCGAGGGTTCTCTCGCAGCGGGAGAGGCCGACGCAAACCAGGCTCCGTCGTGCGCGGCCGAGCCCCTCACCGCACCGGGAGGGGCCGACGCAGACCAGGCTCCGTCGTGCGCGGCCGAACTGCGCCCGCTCGCAGCCCTGGAGGCCGAAGCCGAGGGCCCAGCCGGTCCAGGCACCAGGGCGCGCCTGGCGGCGGCCAGGAAAGATGCTCTCAAGCAGTGGCGAAGCGTCCTGGCTCGCCTATAGTCAGACCAAACAATGTTATAATAACTTTTTGTGGTTTCCACGAGATGTTATTAGAGCATGTTTGGTGGATCCTGTTTTGTTTAAACACATCGGGTTCATGTTCTAAGAACTTCGCTTTCGTTCTTAGAACATGTTTGGGTCCTAGGAACACTTCGTGGTAGGACTATAAGAATGCCGGGTCGGTCGGCCCCTGCTCAATGCTCGGAGGTCACAGCCGATCTACTCCTGGGTGGAGGCGGCGCTCACATGGTGCGAGCTCTCGATGTCCATATGGTGTGGCTCGGGACCCCGGCTTGGTGGACCGCGCCCGGCGACCACGATCCTGCCCTTGGTCTTGGCATCGCTCGGACGTGTGCATTTTTCCTTCGGCGAGGGCCATCGAGGAACATCCTTGACCATTTGGCGAGAAAAACACGCACGAAACCGAAAAAAAAACACAAAAAATGGACGTCCGAGCGATGGCGAGTGGTGGCCTTCCGGGCGTGCATCACGCCGTGTTTGCACGGGGGCCCCCGGGCGGCGTGGCGCGAGCCGCTGCGCGTCCTCTTCCCGGGGGCGAGCTCCGCGCTGGGCCTGCGCAGGCCGCCGCCCGTCGGCGGGCGTCGAGTGGTCTCGGCGTGCTCGCTTTTTGGCAGGAGAGGAACAAACACACAGACACGGTGAATCGTGGACTCCCAGGAAAATATGGGAAAATTTAGGAAGTGTAGGGGGGAAGACAAAAACCCAGAAAATATGGGAACAGATATGGAATCCGGTTCATTGTGTCTATTTGTCTGTGTGTCCCTGGGCCCCTTTCACTTTGCTCCGCGTCGTCGAGGTCATCTGCGTGTTTGCGCACATGATGTGGGCTGGCAGTAAAGCAGGCTGCGCTGATATCCAGCAGTGGCGAAGCGTCCTGGCTCGCGTTACAGCCCTACCGATCAGTGTTCTAAGAGCCTTCTGAGGTTCCAACGAAATGTTCTTAGAACAATTCTGGCGGAGTCTGTCTTGTTTTATCACATCGGGTTTATGTTCTAAGAGCACGGTTTTGGTTCCTAGAACATTGTGGGGTTCCAAGAAGACTTCGTGGTAGGACTATAGGAATGCCGGGACGGTCGGTCCCTGCTCAATGATAGATATCATGGTGGTGGGTTTTGTGTAGATAGAATGTCGGTGAAAATGCTGATGCATGACAATTTTCCAGGGAACCCGCAGGCTGGCTGCGACCGGGTGGAGGTGCCCGACGTCATGCCATGCAAGAAGTTCGGCCTGGAGAGTTTCAAGAATTGCGCGCGGGAAGCAGGCACGTGGGTCACCAGGTGGCTGCTTAGTGGGCGTTGCCGCGTGGCCGATGGCCTCCTCGTGAAGACAGTGGGCCGCTTAGTGAACTCCCGAATGCGACGCACCTTCAAGAGCCCGGCTCTCGTTTGGGACATCCCCACACATGTACTCCTCCTTTTCTTTTCCTCCTCCCCCTCCTCCTTTGCCTCCTCCTCCGACACTTACACCTACTCTTGCTCCCACTCCTACTCCTACTCCTACTCCTACTCCTCCTCCTCCTCCTCCTCCTCCTCCTCCTCCTCCTCCTCCTCCTCCCCCTCCTCCTACTACTTCTCACGACCCTCCTTGTCCAGGTCCTCCTCCGCCTCCTCCCTCCCCCCCCTCTCCCTTCCCCGCTGACCCCTGGAGCTCATCAGAACTGCCTGACCATCAGCCTCGAGACGAAAATCGGGCCGGGGCGACGCGGGGCCCGCCAAGCAAAAGAGGTGGAGGTGGCAGAGTCAGGCTGGCCGGCTCGAGCGGGTCAGCGGGAGGGGCTGGCTGGCCCCTCACTGCTCCTCCGCCTCCTCCTCCCCTTCGTCCTCCTCATCCTCCTCCTTCTCCTCCTCCTCCTCCTCCTCCTCCTCCTCCTCCTCCTCCTCCTCCTCTCCTCCTCCTCCTCCTCCTCCCTCCTGCTCCTCCTCCTCCTCCTCCCTCCTCCTCCTCCTCCTCCTCCTCCTCCTCCTCCTCCTCCTCCTCCTCCTCCTCCTCCTCCTCCTCCTCCTCCTCCGCGAGACGAGGCCACGAGGTGTCCCTGTCGGAGGCGGCGCTGATCGAGAGGGGGTCGCCCCGGGCAGTGGAAACGTCGCCGCCGCCGCCGCCGACGGCCGCTGGCATCCTCGCGCCAGGCAGACGTCACGACGGCATCACGACGTCACGACGCGACGTCGCGCGAGGGCTTCTGAGAGGTCCCGCCGCCTTGTGAGAAGGCCTTCTCCTTCTCGCTTCCCCCCCTCGCTCGTCTCTGGGCCTCCACTATGGTGTCCGAGCAGATGGGGTCGGAGGTTCGCGCCGTACAGCCGATGCATCGCCGATAGGGCTCGATGTGGAGCCCGATTTGCTTCGCGTCGACGTCGCCGATGCACCGCCGACGTCGAGCCGTGCTCCCCACACCCGACAGCATGGTGCTACGGTCGGGAATTCTCGGAAAGCGCGCCGCTCCGCAGGTTCTGGCCCACTGCACTCTGGCGAGACACGCCATCCTCTTCCCAGTCCCAAAGCGCTATATCGGCCCGAGCGTTGCTGAACCTCCCGCCTGGCGGAGCAGAGCGACACGCTATCCGCTCGCAGGGCGTTGCGTATCGCTGGGGCCGCCGCCGCGGCTAGGCAAAAGTTCCCGACCGCATTCGATTTTAAGAAAGAGGTTCCCGACCGTCCTCGCGTATCATCAGAGTTCTCGTGCGCCCTCCTCCCGACAGGCTGCTGCCGGAGACCGGCGAAAGGCTGCAGGGCTTCATGCGGCACCAGGCGAGCCGGGCCCCGCGTGACCACAACGACGAGTAACCACGTTGATCGACGATCCACGACTTGTAGCAGCTTCACGGATGGTGGACGGGCGGTGCTCAGAATGTGTCTCTCGCTTCGCGCTCTCGTCTTAAACGGTTGCGGCAGTATCAAAGAGAAGGATAATTCGTTTTCACAAGGTAGCTCTCGCCTTAGCGCCGCGCAGATTTTGGCATGGCATAGGACTGGCCAAAACACCACAGTCACGTTGATTCGCGGCGCTGCAGTCCCAGGAATGGAGTTTTGGCACGGTGGAGGGTTCTCATACGTTTGTCGTCCAATGGGGCATGCCCCGCAACGGAAATATGTATGTAAGCGCGAAGGAACTGTTCAGTGAGTAGTGGGGAGGAGCGAGGAGGATGACGAAGAGGCGGAGGAGGGGAAGGTCAAGGACGGGGAGTGGGAGGGACAGGAGGAGGACCAGGACGACGAGGGATGAGCAGGAGGAGGAAGAGGGATGACGACGAACAGGCCTTGAAGATGCCCATTGCTGATTTGAAGAGGCCCCAACAAGCCCTGAAGAGTTGCAAGCAGCTTTAAAGAGACCCCAAGAAGCTCTGAAGAGGCCCCAAGAAGCCCTGAAGAGGCCCCAAGAAGCTGTTGAGAGGCTCTAAATAGCCCTGGAGAGGCCCCAGGTAGCCCCGCAGAGGCCCCAAAAAACTCTTCAGAGGCCCCCAGAAGTACTTTAGGGGCCCCAGAGGCCCTGGAAAGGCGCCAGAGGGGGAGGGGGAGGCTAGACTCTGCCTGTAGCCAGACCCCACCCTCACAGTTCTCGACGGCCTATACACTCCGAAGCACCCCTGGCCGTGCAAATGGCCACCAGGCAACACAGAAGCCCATCTGGCCCACAATCACCTTCTCTCCCTCCCTCCCTCCTCCATTCAGCCCTCCCTCCTTCCCACCTCCTCTCCCCATCTTCTCCTTGCAGTTCTGATTCGCATGACTATCATCATGGTAATCCTGATTGTGATCCGTCTCCCGCTCGCTCTCCCTCTCCTGGCCAGCGGGGTCGGCGGCGGGGCCCGGCGCGGGCGGCATGCGGCGTCATGGGGAAGGCCGTGCCATGCGGGTCCCAGGAGGGCCGTGCGGTCCCAGGAGGGCCGTGCCATGCGGGTGTCGTGGGGGTTGAGGCGGCGGGGCAGTCCAACGCCGCGGCGGCAGGCTCCCCGCCACGGGGCCCGTGGAAGCCCAGCCCCGGCCCCCGGGTCCGCAGTGCGTTCGGCCGGACACATCCGTGTGTGCTTGGACGTTGATCCGCTACCCCGCTGGGGTGCACTCGGAACGGCGCGCCGTGCGCACATGGAGTGCCCCCCTGCAGCTTCCGCTGCAGGCCGTTTTGCTACCGGGGCTCTGCCCACCCCCGATGGTGACCTGGCGGGCCGCGGCACCGCGGGCCCCGCCGGCCACGGCCGGCGCCTGCACGGCCCAGGTGATCCCGGACTTCGCGCGCCGCGGCCCCGCGGCCCCGCCGGGCGGCCGCGGCCCGGCGGGGGGCGCGCCGCCCGCGGAGCGCCATCCCCCCGCCGCCGCCGCCGAGAAGGCCCAACGGCCGCCGATCGCCAGCGCCGGCCGCCGCAGCCGACCGGCGATCGCCAGCGTCGGCCGCCGCAGCCGACCGGCGATCGCCAGCGCCGGCCACCGCAGCCGACCGGCGATCGCCGGCCGCGTCGCCGTCGTCCCACGTCGCCGCCCACGTCGTCCCACGTCGCCGCCCACGTCGTCCACGTCGCCGCCCACGTCGTCCACGTCGCCGTCGTCCACGTCCCCGCCGTCCTGGAGTGGACCTAAACGGTGTTTGGGCGATTGCGTGGGCCGTTTTCGTTTCGATTTCGTTTTGCGTTAAAGGCGGATTGAAGACAAAACGAGGGAAAGCGAAAACAAAACTAAAACGAAAAACACCGTTCAGGTTCAGCCCTGCCGCCGTCGCCGCCGCCGCCGCCCACGTCGTCGTCGGAGTCGTCGCCGCCGCCGCCACGGCCGCCGCCGAGAACCACACGGCCGCCGATCGCAAAAGGGGGGCTTGGACTTTGGCCAGGACGTCGCTCCACTCATGAGCCTTCTCCGTCAGTGCCGGGGGAACATCTGGCCGAAGCAAATCGGCTGGATCAGATCAGTCGTTTTTTCCCAGCCGAGACCCCGCCCCTCAGCGGGGGGCCGCAGCGGCGGCAGGCCCGGGGATAAGCAACGTAGGGGGGCGTGGCGCGATGAGGCGACACGTGCGTGGGGCGAAAGACGCTGCGGCGGCGGCGGCGGCGCTCGCCGCGAACCTCGATCGGCGGACTGAGGTTCGCATCTCTCCGGCGTGCCGCCCGCTGATGATGGAGGGGGGGTCGACGGCGCTGGTGTCCAGGATGCTGCCGCCTGTCGTGGACTTGGCGGCCCCGCCGCACTCGCTTGCTGGCCCCGCCCAAGTGCGTTCGCAGCCGCAGTGGTGGCGGAGGGCGCGACAGAGGCACGCAGGCTTCGCAGTGGCACTGCAAGAGCGCAGCGTGGGACACTAACGCAAGAGCGCAGACGTCGCCGCCCGCATCTGCTGATAAAGTACCTCGGGATAGCATGGCCCCTCACCATCACCATTGTTGCCATCATCATCGCCACCGTCATCATCAACAACAGCATCATCGAACTCGCCGTCGATTTCCGCACCACCATCATCATCACCTTGGCCATCGTGGCCATCGACACCACCATCAGCATCGCCAGCGTCATCATCAGAATCAGCATCACCATGCCCAAGACCCTTCTCCGCTGGCCCGCCCTCCTCTCCTCCCGCGCCCCCCGTGTGGTTGTTTTACATAATTCAGGCTCTCCTTCTGCGCCTCGGAATCACCTCCCTTGCCCTGCCGCTGCTCTGGTTCGCAGGGCCCCTGATTCACTCGGCGCATTGGCCGCGGGCGCGCGCAAGCCCCCGCAAAAAGGCAAGAGAACGGTCTCTCTCTCTCTCTCTCTCTCTCTCTCTCTGAGCACGGGTCCCCCTACTTGTACCTCGTGCCTCTCTGTATTACATGCAGCTGCTCCAGTACATTCCACACCCCGTGCCCTTCGTGTGGCCGCCGCTGCTCCGCAGCCTCTTCGGCTGCAGTGGCGCCGTGCTCTGCCGCGGCGGGCGCTGCCCCGGGGCGGGGCACCGGAAGCGACCCTGGGCGGGGCGCCGGCCGCCCCCCCTCTCTGGGCCGCCACCGCGGCGGGAGCCGGCGCGGGCACCGACCGCGCACGACCTCGGGCCGCGGGGGCGGCCGAAGGGGGCAGCAGCCATTGCGGCGCTCCTACACCCTCCGCAGCGGACGCCGACGTGAACCCAGGCGGCCTCGACGTCTACGCGCGGGCCCGGGTGGCCTTGGACGCTCGCGCCGCCGATCGCCCAGTGATGGGCGGTTCTGAAGCGGCCGCGGCGCGGCGTCGCAAGCGTGCCCAAGGCCTCCTCCTCCTCTTCCTCCTCCTCCTCCTCCTCCTCCTCCTCCTCCTCCTCCTCCTCCTCCTCCTCCTCCTCCTCCTCCTCCCTCCTCCCGTGGGCGGCCTCCGAGGCGGAGCCGGAGCCGAGAAGGCCCAGGCCCGCGGTCATTTTACGTCGCCGCGCGGCGGAAGCGATCCGCACGCGCGTCGCGTCGGGGCGGGACCGGGTCACGGCGTCGCGAATGGACCCGCAGGCAAGAGGGGGAGGGGAAGGCGAGAGGGCGGCCGCGGAGGGGGGGAACAGGGGGACTAATAAACTCCGAACCCACGCAAACCAAGGCGTCGCGGGCGTGGTCTCGGGGGGACGCGGCGACGCACGATCACCTCTCCGTCGGGCGACGAAGCGAGGCGCAGGGCCCGCGCGCAAGGATGTCGAGTAAGAAAAGCGGCATCGACGACGGCGAGGGGCGCGACTCAAAGAGAATCGGCACATGCAGTTGCTCTTTCGCAGACTTCGGCAGCGACGCCAAGGGGCCGCAGAAGAAAGCCGATGAGTGGAATCGGATGAAGGAAGCACCTACCGTCGTTTCCGTGGCCGCAGCCACCGACTCGCTCCACCGCCGCCTTTGCTCCGAGGAGCCTCTGTGGCCAGAGAACCTTCACGACCATGTGCCACATCGCCGCAACAAGCGGTTCCTGTGCATCAAGGGGGCGAACCATTGGGCACTGTCCTCCTTCGCCTGGGCGACCGCAGTGGCTGCACGATGGAGGCACACTGGAAGAAGAAGAAGCCACGTGGAGCTTACCAGGGCAAGAACCGCTAGAGCAGAGCGCTGGCGTGCTAGGTGCTCATGAACAATTTTCGTGGTTGGGCTAAGCGGCGAATTCCACGACATGGTGATCCACGTGCACAACATGTTGGGGAACGGCAAGTCGCGCGCTTTTCCTGTCCCGATTGGTTCAAGTGGTTTTTGAACATGGGCGACGTGATGGTGGCGCAGCCGCAGTCTGACGGTCAAGCTTATTTCCCATGGAAGGTGGCCCAAGAGGCAAAGTTTGCGCGGCCAGTTGCTCGATCTTCTTCTTCCCTTCATCCTCCTCATCTTCCTCCTCTTCCCACTTTCTGTCTTTCTCTCTGACTCTCCTTCTCTCTCTCTCTTTCTCTTTCTTTAGTTTCCTCTCCCGTTCTCTCTTTCTCTCTCTCTCTCTCTCTTTAGCTATCTCTGCATGTCTGTGTGTCTGTCTCTCTGCAAGTCCGTCTGTCACTCTGTCTGCCTCTCTCTCTCTCTCTCCATCTCCTTCTCCCTCTCCATCTTTCTCTCTCGCTCCCTCTCTCCCCCTCTCCCCCTCTCTTTATATACATATGTATATATATATACATACATACATCCCTCACATTGAACTGCGATGGAAGTCGAAACGGGGCGAACCAGGAACCTTCCAATGAAGTGATCCTGGGCGGTCCAGGAACCTTACAATCAAGGATTGCAGGGTATGTCTAAGGTCGCGTCTTCGTGCGATCAATACGGCCGTTGGATTACGCGCAGCACGCCCCCCCATACGCGCAGCATGCCCCCCCAGACCAGTCGACTGAAGAAATATGCACGGCTGCATTTGACATTGGTATTCGAGAGTACCGGTGCGATCACCAGCCGGTTTAATATCGCTAATCGACATGCGATTCGCTGGATGTTTTCGTTTGTTTCTGGACGCAGATGAACGATCCTGGCGGGGAGCATTCGGAATGCGGTGCCGTGCGCACGTGGAGTGTCCCTGGCTGATTTCATTAGAGGTCGTTCTGCTAAAGCGTTGACTGTCCATTCCCGACTGTGGGGTCCCCCTGATCGCCGAATGGGATGAGATAGCAGTGGTTTCCGCGCTTGGGTATGCCCCCTGGCCCCCCGAAAGCCGTGCACTTGCGGCCACCCTTGCCCAGAACCGCTCGTGCGTGCACAGTCGAGACGCTAAAATCAAGAACTGCTCAGGTTCGGAAGCAGCTCGCCGTTCTTCAGGTCCCTCTATGGTTGTTCTTCTGGCGCCCTTAGTGCACCCAGGTCGGGATGCTTGGGGAGTTTCAATTCATCACAGTTGTTTTCTCTTGTCGAAAACCGCATGTTCTGGCATAGTCCAATTGAATCCAGCTTCATCCTGCCAGATCCTGCTCAAAATCGGGTTTGATCCAGCCCATGTCAATTCAGCGGCCCTAGCCCAGGTGCGTTCGGTGGCTAGAGAGGGGCCTCGTCTTTCATTTAAGAGGCTTACGCCGTTTCGCTAACCCTCAAGAGGGATGAAGTCAATGGGTGAGGTTGTTTGGGGCCTCTTGGGGTCCCTCTGGAGGCCTCTTTTGCGCATCTTGGGGGCCTCTTCGGGCTTGTTGGGAATTTCTGGGCGCCAGCTGGCGTTCTCAGGGGTCATCAATGGGCGGAGGGCTCGGAATGTCAGTTCGGGTTGCGTCTCTTGGGCTCCTCCCGGCGCTCTGTTGGGGCTCTATTGGGCTATTAGGCGTCTCTTGGGCCGTCTTGGGACCCTCTTCGGCCGTCTTGGTGCCCTCTTGTGGGCTCCGTGGGCCGTTTTGCAGCGATCATCCGTCTTGGACGTTGTTAAGACAAAAATGCAGAGAACCACATAAGATCACACGCTTTCCCGAAGGATTTGGGTGATTCTTGCTTCTTGCGGCCCTCTCGGGGGTCGTCTTGGAGCCCTCTTGGGGCGTCTTGGAGGCCTCTCGGGCAGTCTTGAGGCTATCTTGGTCGCCTTCGAGGACTCCTGTGCGTGTTGGAACCCTGCTTGAACAAGCGTATATCGATTCTTGAGCATCTTGGAGGCCACAAGAGTGTAGAAATGGAGGCTCCAGAGGTCCTAGGAGAGCGCCAGTGAGCTCGGAGACCCCCCCCCCCTAATCGGATGTCAGACCCCAGGGGAGGGGGACAGCCAATCATCTCGCACGCCTTTGTACACCCTGCAAGCGGGGGCCGGTGAATTAGCATGAGGGAAACGGATCCTGTGGGAAACGGGTCCTGGACACCGGGGCCTCTCCCCAAGACAAGTTGTTCATCCCAAGTCGTTTTCTGACGGTCCTGGGGCCTGGGCAGAGCCACAGAAAAACCCGCGAATTGCGCAAAGCTTGGGGACCCGTGTCCCTCAGGAGCCGTTTCTTTCATGGCGACTTTCGCTCACCGAGCGCGTTCCATTACTCGCAAAGTGCCTATTCGCAAACGTCCGAAACAAACATGGATTCCCCTTATGTAATGTACCGTAAATTTCCCACGGCGAATCCAGGCCATTTGCGAGCAGTAACTTTGCGAGTAGTGGAGCGCGCTCGTCCATTCGCGCACAGCGATTCATGACAGCAGCCTGGCAGAGGCCGAGACGACGGCGGAGGCGACGACGGCGCCGAGGAGGGCGGCAAGCGGCCGCCGCGACCGCTCTCCGCCGCGTCGACGTCCGCGACCGCGGGGCGGCCGCTGTCCGCCGTGTCGACCTCCGCGAACACCTGCGGCTACCCCACGGCACGACCCGCGGGGCGGGCCCTCCTCCGCGTTCGGTGTTCCCCCCTTCCTCCTCCTCCTCCTCCTCCGCCTCCTCCTCCTCCTCCTCCTCCTCCTCCTCCTCCTGAGCGTCCTCCTCCTCCTCCTCCTCCTCCTCCTCAGCGTCCTCCTCATCCTCCTCCTTCACCTCCTCCTCCTCCGCCTCCTCCTCCTCCTCCTCCTCCTCCTCCTCTTCGTCCTCCTCCTCCTCCTACGCCTCTTCATTATCATCAGCACCCTCCTGGCCTGCTTTGAAGATCAACAGTTAACGCGTTTTTCTCGCAAGCGCACCCCGCCCCGTCCAGTCTGGAGCTGCAACGTTAGGGGGGGAGGGGAGGGGCTCTCGCCGGGGGGAACGTGAGGGCGGCGTTTTCGACAGTTTCCGGCAGTTTTCGAGGCTGCGCCTCGTCGAGAGCGTTCCTGGGGTGTCTGGATCGTCCCGATCGGCCGCCGGCGAGCCCAGTCATGGCACGAACGCCAGGGGGTAACGACAGCGAGTTCCCACTCGCCCATAGATCGCCGATAGGGGCCCGATAGTCACAAGGGAGGAAGAACCACCCAGACCGGACATTTGGCGTTTACTAAACGGCCCCGGGCGTGTATTAAAGAGCCCCGCCTTCTTCGATTCCTTCCTTGGGCGCGTTTACTACACGGCTTCGCTTGTCGGGGTGGTTATCATCGGGGTGGATTTTTTGTCCTCTAGATAACCCACCCCGCTGGGGAGCGCGCGGGCCCGCAGTCGGTGGCCTGTCGCCGATCTATCGGCGACGTGTCGCCGATTCCCAGGCGACGCTTCCCCGGAGCCCGTCCTCCCCTAACGTTCCTTCTCTGGCGGGGAGCGGAGGGCTGACCCTCACCAAGGGTAGCCTGAGCAGCGGGAAGATATGCACATATATATATATATATATATACATATATATGTATAACTATATATATATATATATATATATATACATGCATATACAGACATGCATACATAAATGCACACATATATAGATACACACATAGATATATACATACATATACATATAACGGCGCACCGGGTCCGGGGGCCCGGGGCCGGGACCCCGACCACAAATGTGGGCCCCGGGGGGCCCGGAGGCTCGTCGGACCGCCGGACGCCGTCCAAGATCGTTCGCAGGCGGCTTCGGAACGCGCTCCGATGGCTCCAGATGCCTTCCAAGACGCCTGTCATGACACCAAGAAGGTCCCAGAAGCCTCCAAGACGCTCCGAGAGGCAGCCCAAGAGAGGCCCAAGAAGCAAAAATCGTGCCATTCCTATGGGAAAACGTATATTTTTCGCATGTTCGCCTCTTGGGCTTTCACCGCGTCCAAGACGGCCCAAGAGGCGCCCAAGACGGTCTACGAGGCCTCCGGGAGCGCTCCAAGGCTGCGCACGAGTGGCCCAGGACGGCCCCAAGACGGCCGAAGAGAGCCCCAAGACGAGTTCGAGAGGGGTCCCAGACGGAGAAAGCCAACCTCGAATTCCGAGCTTCCGGCCCAAGAGGCTCCAGGAGGCGCCAAAATGCCGCCAAGAGGCGCCAAAAGGCTCCCAAAAGCACCCCAAGACGTTCCGAGAGGCACCCCAAGAGAGGTCCAAGAAACAAAAATCGTGCCATTCCTATGGGAAAACGTATATTTTTCGCATGTTCGCATCTTGGGCTTTCACCGCGTCCAAGACGGCCCAAGAGGCCTCCAAGACGGCCTAGGAGGCCTCCGGGAGCGCTCCAAGGCTGCGCACGAGTGGCTCAGGACGGCCCCAAGACGGCCCAAGAGAACCCCAAGACGACTCGAGAGGGGTCCCAGAAGGAGAAAGCCACTCTCGAATTCCGAGCTTCCGGCCCAACATATCCCAGGAGGCGCCAAAACGCCGCCCAGAGGCGCCAAAAGGCTTCCAAAATCAGCCCAAGACGTTCCGAGAGGCACCCCAAGAGAGGTCGAAACAAAATCGTGCCATTCCTTTGGGAAAACGTATATTTTTCGCATGTTCGCATCTTGGGCTTTCACCGCGTCCAAGACGGCCCAAGAGGCCTCCAAGACCGCCCCAAGACGGCCCAAGAAGCTTCCAAGAGGGCCCCAGGACAGCCCAAGAGGGCCCCAAGACGGCCCAAGAGGCGCCCAAGATGGCCCAAGAGGGCCCCAAGACGGGCCCAAGAGGGGGCCCAGAGGGGGACCACGAACCGCAAGCTCGAGCCTTCCGCCCCAAGAGGCCGCCAGGAGGCCCCAAGGAGGCCCCTCAAGAGGCCCCAGGAGACCCCCAAGAGGCCCAAAGGAGGCCCCGAGAAGCCCCAAATCGG